CGAGCGGGGGGGGGGGTGGCGCGGCCAGCCACATACATCTGGCTTATGGAACCCAGCTGCAGCAGCCGGAGAGCAGCTGGCACCGGGCCGGGAAGGGCTGCCCGGGGGGAGCAGGGCCGGGGGTCCCGGCAGCAGGGGGCCAGGGAGGGAGAGTGGGGGTGGGGGCAGGCCCAGATTGGGACCGTCTGGGCGATAGAGGCCCCTTTGTCTGGGGGTTTATGGCGTGCAAGGCAGCCCTTCCGGCGCGGCAGGAAGCGCCGATTGGAACCAGATTGGCCCGGGGGGCCCAGGGCCGGGGGCAGGAAGAGGGGGAGGGAGGCGTCTCCACTGCCTTGCGCTGGCTCCGGCACTGCTTCAGGCTTCCCGGCCACCCCATGGCCCCCTCGCGTCCCACATCCCACAGGCTGCCCAGCCCCATGCCATCCTGGCCGTGGTGCCCCAAGTTGGCACCGTCCCTGGGTGGAGGATGCTGCTGGGGCTGGCCATGCCCTCCAGTCCCCGCAGCAGCACCTAGCACCTCCGTGTCCCACGGCGAGGACGTGCCTGGCCGCTTGGCCGTGGTGAGAGCACGTGTCCCATGGGCCCGCTTAGCGTGACCTGCAGTCCCACAGGGCCCCGGGGAGCCCGCCTTGGGGGGCAGCCTCGACCGGGGAGACAGGCTTTCTGGGGCGCTGGGACGGGCAGTGGCGTTCCCTCTGCACTGGGCAATTGCCTGGGTCCGTGCCGCCGTGGTGAGGATGGGGTTAAGCCCTTTCCACCCCAGTGGGATAAGTGCAGGCAGCAGAAGGCAGGAGGTGAGAAGGCAGCAGAAGGCAGGACGGGAGAGCGGCCAGGTGCGAACGCCCCTTCCCGAGCAGGGCTGGCGCTGCCTGTGGCGAGGGCAGATGGCGGGGCCGCCATGCCAGACGGCGCGGGGCTGCATCCGGCCGCTTGGCCCCAAGGTTGTCGCCTCGGGCCAGAGCCAGGATCAGGGGGCCATGGGTGTGAGAAGAGGCGATTGTGTGGGGCTGGACAGTGCTTCAATGGCCCTTTGTGCGCCCTTCCTGGCCTGGGGCTGGGAGTAACGTTGGCCCCACGCCAACCCTGGCCCCTGCAGTGCTGGGGGGATGGCTGTGCCCCCCATTGCCCCTGGACCACCATGGTGCCCCCATTCCCCTGCCCTCAGACTAGTCCCTTTGCCTGCCCTGCTGTACCCTAGCCCTCGTGCCCCACCAGTCCCTGCCCCATGGGGCTGGGCAGCTGGGGTGTGGAGTGCCAGTGCCAGCTGCTACCCCGCACTCCCCCTTACAGTATGGTGGGCGGGAGTGGAGCTGCTGGGACCGGCTGGAGATGCAGGCAGTCAGCGCAGACGGGCAGGAGATGACGGTGCAGGAGGTGCTGGACTGGCTGCAGGTGAGCCTGGGGCAGGCAGCACCCATCCAGGTCACCCTGGGGGGTGCAGGGCTGGATCCTGACACTCACCTTTTGCAGAGAACACAGGGTTGGACTGTGACCATGCTCCTGCGCGGCCACACCGTGATCTACGACAGGGAGGAGGATGAAGAGACACGGACCCGGCAGCGGGCGCAGAGGTAGGTCCCTAGCTCTGGGGTCCAATCCTGCCCCGGGGGGGGCTGCCAGACCCAACTCCCTTCATCCTGAGCCACTCCAGCTGCAGCACAGCTCCCAGCCAGCTGCTGGATAAACATCCTGCCGGCAGTGCTTCCTGTGGCGGGCCCCCGGCCCGGCCCCTCACTGCCAAGCCCCTGCGTCCCCCCAGCCTGGCCAGGTGCCCCGGGGGGCCTGGTCAGGCCGGGGGGACAAGCCAGCATCCCCAAAACCTCCTTTCCCTGCTACAGGTTATCAGAGAACCTGGAGGGTGCTGGGGAGCCACGGCGGCGGGAGCTAGAGCTGTACTATGTGTGCGAGGGAGAGGATGCTGAGGCCGAAAATGAACGTCCCCCCCTCATCTGCTCCCTACCCTAAGTGGGGGGCCGACATCCCCTGCCCTGTGCAATAAAAGCTGCAGGATGAGCTCTGATGCATTGGCCCTCATTACAAAAACTCCCTGCCTGCCCCTGCCCAGAGCCGGGGTGCAGGCAGCTCCCCCCCCAGAAACGCTGCTGTGCCCATACCGTACAAAACCGGGGTTTATTTACAGCGGAGGAGGGTGCAGGCAGAGGCAGGCAGGGCTAAATGTAGCCGATAACGTCGTTGCAGATGATGGGCTGGCGGCTGCGGCTGTTCATGAGGGCAGTGAAGCGGTGGAAGTCCGTGGCCAGCTGGGCGATGTTGCTGTGGGACTGGTGGAAGCAGGCACCCTTGGGCTGCCCCCCCAGCCCCAGTGGGCAGGAGAAGCGCTTGGTGGCTTCACGGCCCCCTGGACGGGCGCTCTCAGCCCCCCGGGGCCGGGCCATGTTGGCCAGCTTACGGCGTACGTTGCCCGAGAGGCTGAGCAGGAAAGCAGGGGGCTTGGCCAGCCGGCGGGAAGGCTCAGCAGGGGTTTGGTGCCGGGGTTCGGCACCCACCTCAGGCAGGTCCATCCAGTTCTCCACCAGGTCGGCGAAGCAGTTGTCACCCAGCACCAGTGGCTGGCGGGT